ATCCTCCATGTTCTTTTAAACGCGTACCAATACCCTGTCTAGAGACCGCAGGGAAGGCGTTCTTTTAGGGAATTCAAATCGTGATGACTTTAGCGTTCTTTGGGGATTCTTTTTTAGGGATTCCATAGCGTTCTTTAGGGATTTCGTAGCGTTCTTTTAGGGATTCCGTAGCGTTCCTTCAGGGATTCCGTTTAAAGGGATTTCCGTAGCGTTCTTTAGGGATTTCTTGAGGGATTCCGTAGCGTTCTTTAGGGATTCCGTAGCGTTCTTAAGGGATTCCATTTCTCTCTATACCAGGCAGTATCGCGAATATGACATTCTTTTAAACTAAACTATAAACAATGGTTGTCTATGAAATCTCCATAAGAACAAAAAAGGCATGTCAATTAGAAGACTGCTAGAGGAGTCACCAAATAAACATATGTATTTTATTTCAAATCATCACATATTTATGTAAAAAGAAGAAGTCTGACTTCAAAGTTCAATACTCATGCATTTACAGTTTCTTGGATGAGAGTCTTACTACTTCAGATGTTCTACATGTATATAGATCTAGGTAGTGGCCGCATAATTTGACACAAAAAGAGTTGATATGAGATAACGTTTTGTCCTGCAATGAATTATCGACTAAACATGACGTTAATGCTTAAGTTTGAGAATGCACGTATGCAACCACATTTTAACGTATGCTATAGTAAGTTGAGTGGCATTCGACTACCCGCAGTTTGACGGAAAAGGGCGAAAACATGCATTTGGATTGCAGGTTTAAATTTTTTATCTAAAGCTATTATTACCAAACCGCATATGTTAAACGTAATGTACCCTTTAAACGTATGAATGATCCGATGTTATTTAACTTCTTTCGACATTATCGTTCACACTTTTAGAGATGATTTTATACTATCTTGTGAGAAAATATATACAGAATGTTGCAAATAACACGCAAATATATGTAATACATATATGCCCTATATCAAATCGGGAAAATTGAAACATGAAAATTTTGAACAGAAATTAGTCAAATTACAATGGCATTCATCTTCAAAGAATAAAACACACACACACCGCCATGAGCTTATATCGTCAGGTCGGCAGTTCACGCCAATATGAAATAAATGACGATTTTACATTAGGATTTATAAAAACTGATTAAATGCAATAAAACTAACAGACCGAGGCGTAACATCTTTTTGCTAAAACTATGCCACTTCACAACACATAGATAGAATCTTATTTTATAATTTACACTATAAACTAGGATATTTATAAGCCAATATTAATGATAAATGGTGATTTATGACAGTTAAAATACGTTACAACTTGGTGTATGGTAGAAACTTTAGGCTATCATAATGTCAACAACGAGACTTCAAATGTAACCATGTTGTCATAAAGCTATTCCTAGTGTCAATGCTTAACATATTCATAAAAACGATAAAAATGTACCATTTTGATATTCTTATAAATTGATGCTTGAAAAAAATATTGATAAAATTCTAAGTGATTTAGAAGGAACATTTATATGATGAATAATAATATTGTGTTCTAGAACACTTTATTATCTGCTATATAAATGTATGTAATATTGCTAACAACGCCATGGAGATTTTTCCGTGGTTTGTCGATATGTAGGCCTATAACAACGTAATTATTCGTCACATTACAGATCTTCCATTATAGATCATGTCACTTTAAACACGGCAAATATGTGTAATCCATATTATACACATTTCAAAACGTATTTTATCATTTTTATTGCACATTTACAATTTTGTAGAACATATAAATTTTTTGTGATAGCAATTATGGAACATGCGCTGCTGACTAGTATTAAATTAATGAAAATAAAATTTATAGTGTATTTATAAACTTTCTAAAATTCAATATCCGTCTTAAAAATTAATGTTATAGAAGTCATTTCTTGATAAAGAAAAAAATATTTCGGAACTTGTAAATAATTTTTGTTTTGGTATTAGCGAGCGCAGTTAAATGTGTGATCATATTAAGTAAGCTTTATATGTACTCGCAGAAAAAAAAGAAAAATCATAAGTGTTATAAGTGTTTAAATATTTGTGGATATCCAACGTAAACATCTATAAACTTATAAACCTAAAAATTGAAAGTTTGAAACAAATTAAGAGAAGAAGGTAAAAACTTACATATTGGGATAAATCTTCCTCGCTCATGGTTAAGATATGATACTATATCCAATCCGACAGTCACTGGGGTATGACAAGAATTTGTGGTGTTTAGCCTTAACCGATCGGCAATCGGACACCCGTCAATAAATTGTAAATAAACTACAGCTGTTTGCAAAAGTCTGTTTAAATTATAAGTTGCGATCGAAGAGAATAGAAGCACATTTATTATGAATAAAGCTCCATTTTTGTTCATGAAATATCTGCTTTTAGTGACAGGCAATGTATGGTCTATGCAGTTTTCATAAATTAAACAAAGGTTTGTGCTACGACACCTGCTTGGCATTAAAATGCACATTATTTTCTATCGGGCGTAATTATTTAAAAGTCATATTCCTCATGATATAGCTCATTTGATAATAATAATAATAATAATAATAATAATAATAATAATAATAATAATAATAATATTAATAATGATAATAAAAATAATCGTCATCGTCATTTTTTCAGCATCAGCATCATCATCATTTTCATCATCACATTATCATAAATCATCACCATCTCCGTCAACATAATTACTGAAAAACAACTTCGTTATTTTCTTCTTCTTCTTTTATTCTTTATCATCATCATCATCATAATCAAAGTCATCATAATCAGCATCATCATCATCAGCATCATCATCAGCATCAAAGCCATCATCATTATCAGCATCATCAAAGTAATCATCATCATCATCATTATCATCATCATCATCATCATCAAAGTCATCACCATCATCATCATCAGAATCATCATCAGCATCATCATCATCAAAGTCATCATCATCATCAAAGTCATCATTAGTATCATCATCATTAAAGTCATCATCAGCATCATCATCATCAGCATCATCATCAGCATCAAAGTCATCACCATCATCATCGTCATCATTATCATTACTAAGAACATTAAAACATGTTTAAATCATGAAACATTCATGAGCAAAATCAAGATAGATGTAACACAAGGCTAACTGTTAGACAAAAATACTATAACCTCATTGCATGAACAAGAAAAGAATAACACTGATCAGTTAAAAACAAATATATCTAAACCCTGCCATAAGTACCCTAAATATCCCCCGAATACCATATTTCCACTTTCCACAGCGATTTGCTACGGGACGTAGATTGCTTTTTCTCTTACCTCAGAATGGGCATGTTCGGGATAGTTTAATATGGAAACGTTTGAGTTATAGGAGTAATTATAGGAGGCAATTAACTATCACACTATTTGTCTACGGCTAGGTATAATAGTTCTAGCTATTGATCGCTGCCATGCTACTGTTTGTCTTAATTTATAAACGAAAATTTTCCCCTATATAGTCTACAAGAAAATATCTTCTTGTTCTCGTGCAGTTAAATAAAAATAAATCAAGTAACACAATTTCAGAAAGAATGATCACAAACGGTTGACATAGATTCGAACTAGCAAAAATAATCGCACCTACCATAAGATATTTTAAGCCACCGGTTCAATAACTAGGGACAGCAAATTGTTTCTGATCTGTCTGTCTAATCTTAAGAAAGTAAGAAAACTTGACAGTTACACGAATGTCCTCCCACCTATAGCCTCCAAAATTTCGAAATTTCAAATGTCCAACTTGATAAGCTCTGGCTGCAATACCTACATAGAGGTCACGATGTCAAATGTCAAGGTCACCAGTGTAAAGCCTCCGAGGATGTGACAGGGCCTTCGTAAATTTGACGGAGTCAACACAACCATTCAATTAGTGTCTATATTGTGGTATTATGCCAATTTATATTCATTGATATGAGATAGGTTCTTAATTATATCTGTAAACTTATTAACGTACCATTTTCAATCACTTCTTCTTCACTAATTGGATGACTTTCAAGTGAAAAAATGTTCTTTTAATGTTTTCATGTGTGTAGAATGTTAAATTTGCAAAAGAAATTTATTTGACAAAGATTATTTGAGTTGCTTCTTTGGAACTTGGTCTTTCGATGCTCAATCTTTTATTGGGTTTTCGCCAGTGTGATACGTCGGAGATTAATTGTTTGATTAAATTTTCATTGTTTTGACAATAACTTTAAAATAGTGTTGTATTGCTTTGGCGAAATTTACTTCGTGCTACAATCATTTAAATACTAGTATTTCATTTGGTAAAAGTCACAATGATTGAGGTATTTCTTATCAAAATTGCATCCAAAATGATGAGAAAAAGAATGTTCTACGTGGCAAAGCATTCTTGATTTTTTAAAAACAAGCATGTTCTTTTAAAAACGATATTTGTAGGAACTATGTTTACCTTTTCCAGCTATGTTTTCCTCGAGGACAATTTACAACGGAAGTGTCGAGGACTGTCATTTCAATAGGTCACCAAATTGTGTAGAGAGAGCAAACATACCACAATCGCGATTGTCAATTTGATACCGACTGCATATTATATTTCGCTAAGGACTTCTGATATAAAAAGGCGACATATTGGAACAACTTACAGTCACATGGTAAATTGGGGGCTTCCATGTGCCTCCTTTGTGGCAGAAGTGATAGAGATATGTTTCTTTTAAACAGGATAAAAGAGTAACATTGATATTTTCAAATTGATAACAGTCAATTTTCGTTCTAAATGAGGCATAGACTAAGTGGTAAGTTTGCAGAAGTTGTATGAGAACGTATATTGCCTTGTGTATTCGCGTCCTATGTACGGGGCCATACGAGAAGAGCCGACGTGTTCCGGATAGACTAGATATCCATATTTCAGCTACTTGTGACAGAAAGTGCTGACGAGCTTCCGTCATATTTAAACGATAAACAGTTGATACAACATAACACAAAATCTCATATCGCTGTGATTTATTAATTTATTATAGTCCATATGTATGAAATTAATCATAACATTAATATTGGGAAACAATTTCTGAATAAATAATACACGAGTGTTATTCGATAAACAGTAAATAAATGAGAATTATGAAGCTTTGTAGCAATTGTCGAGAATGGCTACTTAATCAAAACCTGGTATATGGAGTTTAAAGAGGAAACAATGTAATATGATCGTTATTGATATTTTGTTATTTGCCGACAAATAAGTTCGCGTGCTTTTGGTTTTGACCAGTAGCATGGGAGAAAGTCAATATGTCAGTTCAAGAATTAATTGAATGTCTGTGACATCACCCCGATATGACAAAGTTACTGAAAGTATAAATTTGCTTGTAACATAGGATGAGAAAAATGTGAGGTCTGACCAAAACTCAAACCCGGGACCCTCAGAATACCAATCTGCATATCTACTAACTGATTGATTATTTTCTTGACATTTGACACATTGAATTCTGTTCGAGTTTTTTACTGCGATTTTTCAAACCTGTATACATGTACTTTAAAACAATACAAATTATGTGTTTGTTAATCTTATTAAAAGCATTAGATCTCTCTCAAACACATATATTGGGTGTAAACTTGATTTTTAAGCATTTGAGAATGCTTCACCGGTCAAATTCTATCTGGTTTTCCGTTCCAAGTGAACTTTTCTATATCTGTGATTTATAACCCATCTTATAGCACATCGTTTTCGTTTATCCCTTATGTTTTGTGAAATTGCAAATTAGTCTCTATCTATTATTATTACATGTAAGTTTAAGGCAGCTACGCAATATCTTGAAATTCGAAGGTACAGTAGTAATTCGCCCTTTTATAAGTATTAGTTATTAAGCACGTTTTGATCTGTATGTGTGCAATAACAATTATTTCTGACAAATAAGCAACATTTTAGTTTCATTTTAACTATATATTTTAACTTTATAACAATTAAGCCTTGTTATATTAAATTACAAAGATTACTTTACAAATTTGTGTATTTTGACAATTCTTCATAAATCGGTCACAATCTTTCTTCTAGTGTAACGTTGGTGTATCCATATTTCTTAAAATGATTTTCATTTTCTTTGTTATCAAAGTTTTAATTACAGTCAACAGAAAAAAAACTTCATGCACTATGCACTATTGGCAGACACGCATCAAATTTATCCAAGGAAGTTGATGAAAACGCTCCAGTCCTTGCCTGTTTTCTTATCCACTGCTTTCACGATAATCTCTGTACCACTAAATGTCATAGTCACGATGATTTCTCTTCCAGGCTGTTCCTCTGGATCCGGAAGATCAAATTTCAATTCTCCAATAAGCGAACATTCAGTCGTATATTTTGGGTTACATTGTTCCGTGGCGAAAATGTCAAAAGCTACTTTACTTTGGAATTTGTGACCTGTTGCGTAAGTCTTGTCAACTTGCGTTTCATTACATTTGACGACTTGTCCTTTTTCAACATGTTTGCTGAAAACTCTACATCGTACACCAGTTGAATCTATAACCTTCAACTGTTCTGGGTCAGTTCCTTCTTTGAATGGGTCAGTTGTTTCAACACCATACGTGTACTTCAAGACTCTTTCCCGTATGGATAGAGGACTATGTCCATACACTAAAGCTCCTCTAAGAATGGTAGAAGATGCACCAATGGGTATAACAACATCTTGGTCTGTAAACGCTTCTTTAATTGCATGCTGCAGCATAGGAGACTCAGAATATCCTCCTACCATCAAAATTGTTTTTATCTTCCCAACGTTTTCATCTCGAAGTAGACTTGTCACATGGTTGATGGTTCTTCCGATTGAATGATCAAAAAGGCTTTTGAAGAGACTTGCGGAAATTTTTATCTTGTCTCCGCAAAACTCAATATCACTTGCATACTTTGAAGCTTCAATGGCATCCGATAGTTTTCCTTTAGTGATTTTTGCAAAGGTTTTGCTGAACGAAAGAGGAAATCTCATATTAACACGAGCATTTTTATTCGGTGCAACAGCTCGCTTTTTAACTTCAAAATCGCGCCAAATTTCAAGCCAGTCTTCTGTCTCAGAACGTTTAAAGGTATCATAAACCTCGGGTCCAGCAAGATCAACAAGCAGATTTTCGAAAGCTTTGTCAACAAGTATACCTCCCCACCCACCACCACTTGCGGACTGGATCTCTTTCACGCTGTTCTCACTGACAACCTCGTGTACCGTTATATCTATTGTTCCCCCTGCAAAAAAACATCAATAAACATCAACAAAAATCCTAAACAAAACAGTTTGATTAAACAACTTTTTGTCAACTTAACAATAAAACAGTATAGCCATTGTCTAAGGAGCACGGCCGATCTTTTATCATTTTAAAGTCAATCACATCAGAGGAATAATAATGTATCAAAGAGTACTCCCAGAATACAGAATTTCAAGATCGTGACGGTCAAGATCATTTAGAGCTCAATGTCACATTTAAATTAATCATCATGATAGTAATGTCACAAGTGTTTTAAAGTCCCCTACAGGGTTGACCGGAGTTATAGGTAGCCTACCTCCTGTTAAGAACTTTGGAAATCATTATAAATATATAATGTAATAAGAAGAAAAGACTTTTATTATTTTGTCGAAGAAAGAGGAATTTTATGTACAACGGTTGTTAATGTAAAGACCGACAAGAGTGTGCAACGTTCTAAGATTTGATCTCATTCAAAAGTATGCATATAAATAGTTATAAATATACCATACACCAAATTGATATTGGAAACAATGGACAGGGAGACTGTAACGCAGTACATGTGCAACTTCATTTATTAAATTTTATTTTTGCTATAGATTTGCTCGATAATAAAAATAGCTTGAAACTTCTAAGTATTGTAATCATTCTCGACTCTGCTTCCTGGATCTAATAAATACTGGCATCATATATGCATATATACTCGGCACATGCTCCCTGTCTTAATTAAGACTCGAGAACCAATAGACCATATCTGTACTATATTGACATTTATGAAAGGACAAATAAATGCACCTTTTGAAAATTTTGCAGCAACTTTCATTTATACGCCATTTATAACATGGCTGTAACTTTGCATATCAATTAAAAATAAGAATTACGAGATATTTGACTAAATGAAAACCTACTAGAGGATAAACAAATCACAGTCCGATATAGAGACATATGTGATTGGGTCTTTCGTTTAGATAAAAGAAAAAGTTTCATACCTCCTGCATCGAGAACCATGTATCTAGTACCGACAGGCATCTTTGCTATTGAAATATTTCCACCAGAAATGGCTGTGTCCACCGATAAATGCCGGCAAAATATCGATGCTGCTTCTGGCTCCAGTGCAATCGTCAATTTGTTTGTTAAAAGGCCAGCCTTGAAACAAAAAAAATATAATCATATATCAAAATTTTATTTTTGAACATAATTGACGAACATATGTTATTTTAGAGAAAAAACACTGTATCGTACGTTTATAAAAGCAAACAGTACCGTATACATATTTCTATTTCAATCTCCCACAAAAGCAAAAAAACCATAGTGATTTACATTCTTTGAAATCTAATTGTCAAATGACAACACACACACACACACACACACGTTAACAAATTTTAAAGATGAAGGTAGCATTTAAATGAGTGAGCTTTAACGTCTACATGACAAAGAGAAAACAATTATAACCTGCACGGCAGCCTCTCTCATAAATTGTTTTGCAGCATCTGTCCATATTGCTGGAACAGTAAGTACCCAGTGGACATCATCTTTCTTGAAAGCAGATGTAAGTTTATCTTTTACACTCTTCATCATATCTCCTACAAGATATTCGATGGCCATGGCAAACACGTTTAACGCAATCATCGACTTTCCCATCTCATCTTCTATTGTCATGCCGCGGTCCAGTTTCTGTAGTTTAAAGTCATTCTTTTTTAGATACCAATCAACAATTCCTAATCATATGTTCATTATAGCATGCATATTGTTATCTATATACACTTTTAAAGGAAATAAACAAATGATATCCGTTTCTTTTTCTGACATTTGTAAATCGAAAATCTGATCATGATACACAAAAGTCACATTAGAACAGTCAGTCAACAGATACAAGTACCTACCTCACCAAGTTTTTTATTAAGTGCCATTTTAAATCTTCTGAAGTAATAATACTCCTCGTGCATTTCATTGTCTGCAAGTTCCCTGTATTGGTTTTCAGCATCATATCCAAAAGCTTCAAGAGTCTTTCTATCTGACTTTATCAACAAACACGTGGGTGCTTTTTCTGTAACTAGAGTTCCACTAGAGTGCCATTGCTTGACAGACGCTTTAGTAGGATCCGCTTGAAAATCATGCAGGAATGAGAAAGCCCAGCCGGAATAAGTCGTGCCAAAATCTATCGCCCCGACGAGCAAGTCCCTTGTAGCCTAAAGAAAACAATGGGAAATGGTAATAGCAGATCTTAAACAGTATTATATTGTGTTGAAATATGTATTATTATTAAGATACCGTACGCCGTAAAACTAATATGTAAATCAGCTAAATTAGATGTAGAAATCATTAAACAACCTTAATAGGAGAGAATCTCCGAGAAGTGTAAATGATCCCGAAGAAGGGGAACGATATCCTAGTGGTTAAGGTGTTTGCTTTTCAACCCTGGAATCAGGGTTCGAGCCTTATACGGGTCACGACCACATGTTTCTTCATATGAGACCAGTACTGGTTGGTTCCAAGAAACGGACTCGAACGTGATTGATATAAGTTGCAAAAACTTGTTTCGCAATCTAGCTTATATAAATATGTTTAAACCAATCACGAAGAAACAGAAAATGAAACGATAATTCATACAAGAAAATATAAAACCTTGATGTCATCAAACATAGCATTAGATGTTTAGTTTGTAAGAAAATACATACCATATGTCTTATTCGCACTTTCTCTTTCAAACAACCAGGAACATATTTTTGTCAATTTTTTCCATGAATTTACGCTATAAAATCTTGGTGTTCAGCCAATATTACATTGAATCTTTGAAGGTCATAAATCTAACACCCGGGTAGAAATTGTTAATAAGATTTGCCGATTTAGTCCCCTTTTGTTTCAAAATCTACGTGTTATTATAACTATCAGTTTGTAACTGATACGTCAAAGCATTAATCAAACAATAGATTTATTATATAGATTGTAAAATAGAAAATACATACCATGACAAATGGCCCTCTTATAATTGCAGTTTCTCTTCCCAAAGACACTTTAAATCAACCAGGAAGGTAAATGTCATATTCGAATTCCATGAATTTACGTGTCCAAACTGTTTTTCTTTATCGATTATTGGTGCTCAGCCAATACGTTTTACATTATAATTTTGAAGGTCATAAATAGCACAATCAGGTAGCATTTGTTGCCGATTTAAGTAAATAGCAAACTGACTAAATATAAGAAAATATATCAAACAAAATTCTTTGCTACTTTCAATTTAACCTTGTGATATGAAGTTTACATATCAAGTTTACAAAATTCCATGACTTTCCAATCATGGGTAAATATACGCTACCAATACAGTGTACCCCTGACATCCAAGAGCCACCTGCTACTGATCAGCCTTTATCGCCTCCAAGTATCTACAGTCCCTTCTCCACACACTCAGTCCAACACAATAGTAATATCCAGTCTATCAGCTGGCGCAAGCAACGCCAAAGTTTAACAATCATTTGATTCAATCTTATAATACCCTTAGAACAAACAATCGACCAGGACTTGGCCAGGCAGATTCCACATTTGATACGATGTACGCAGTTACTCAAATACTTACAATGGCTTGATACGATCGTCAGAACATACAATTAATATATAAGCCTACGCATAAGAATTAAAAACAAAACAAAAATGTTAAAACAAGCGTTAAGGCAGAACGCGACACTTTGCGAACTTTCGACTAGCGTCTTGAAAATTGGCATGCAGCAAGTTGACCATATTTCTGATTTGATTCCGTTGATTTTATTCCAATAGTTTCAGCCAATTTTTGTACACACGACGTCAAAGTTGACCATCAAAGCCCGTTTTTGAACATGACGTCGTTGCGTATCCTTGGCAACTGTAACGGGTATTTCACCGCCATTGGCGGACAAAATATCTTAAATCCTACAGCATTCGACGGAAATTATTTTTCCCTTTAAGCTGATATAAAATTTATTGTTTTACGCCGAAAAATGTTTGAGAAATGGAAAGAAAATTGTCAATTTTGTGTAATATTTGACGTTCAGTTTATCCGCAATTTTCGGCTTTAAAGCGGCTTATTAAAAAATTCCTGAAATAAATTTTTGATTTTTTTCTTTAAACGTACTTTAAAATGTATACTTAGTCAAAATAACTAAAAAATAGGGGGTCACCGACTCAAATTTTTCGGTACACGTGATTTTATTTCCCCCACTCCTTGAGTTATTTTGTAACGAAATTCGATGTATGCAGATACGTTTGAGAGTTCAAAGTACGGCAATAATGTTCAGCTTATCAGGAGAATTGTTCTAGAGTTTTACTTATACATATAAAACAACAATATGTTCCATTGCAAATTCTTAAAATTTAAAAATGAGACCTCACGATGAAAAAGCATATTTATATTTAAAATTTTAGCCTGGGATTTAGTCGTTGATTGGCGACGCCGGTGAGCGGCGTCGTCTTTTATGGAATGCTTTTTATTTTGGCCTATGGAAGGAGCTATTATTATTAGCAGTTAATTTCATGTTGTGTTAATTAGATTTATTTTGATTCGTAAAAATCAAGCAAACAAATATGTTGTTATATTTGTATTTAATAACTTTATATAAAAAGCATGTGCATTGTGATATTATTTTCACAAAATTGCAGGCTCAGTTTAACAGCTTGTCGACAATACTACATTCGGAACTGCCTCGGCTATTATCTATAATATTATCCGAAGACTGACGGAAAGGGCCGAATTGTTGCGATTGGACAATACTAAAACCGGATTTCGAATATCGTTGTGGTCTACATTGATGCCGTATCCATTCGTTCATTCATTTATATATTTTCAAAATTTTCCTACAAGAAGAAAGTTCACTTGCAAATGAGTGTAAGGATAGGTAATGGACTGTTGTAAACGATTATCCTATTGATTTTATCCATATTGCGTTTATCTGTTGCACAGAATGGTTGTTTTTACAAAGTGTACCAGTATTCGGATGTTGACAGCTATCCGATTTTCTGCAATTACAGCTGTCACACGGCCATCTATTTTTTATGAATACTTTACCATTAATTTGCATGGCTTAATAAAACTGAGCCTGCAACATTTCTTAATTTTGATGTTTAGGGTGTTCTTTTGGGTTTCAGTTTTTCTCTATTTTAAGGGGAAGTAACTCATGTTTACTAAATTATTTGTTCTTTTCTGTCTATCTTAGGTATTACTTACTATTTTGTTTTATAAAATTTACCAGTTGTAAGGTCATCAAAAGCAAAGAGGCCCTGATGAGTGAATATTGATATATATTTTTTACTGGCTTTATATACCCTAGACCAGATTTTACTAGTTTGTTCAGTTAGTACATACCTATAGGTATTCTGCTAGAGCATGTAGAGAGGAATCTTCTAATCAATATGTGATATTATTATTTTCTATGTGTTTGTATATAAATTGTTAATAAAATAACCTTTGGTAAAAATGAAAGGTAGAATATTTTAGCTATACATATAGGTGCTCATTAATTTTAAACACTTGATACATGTATATATATATGCACTTAGTTATATAGTAAAGTCTAATGGAAGGTTAATTTGTTAGTTGTTACTGTAAGAGATATGCATTTAATGTTTAGACACTCACACAATTTAATCTTTATTATATGATATAGACTATTTGAGATTTTTTTTTACTTTTATACTATACAATATCATGTACATTATAGTTTTCTTTCTACAAGATTATGAATTCCATCCAAACACCAGTGATAATAGGATGTTATATAATATTTATTTTAAATTGAACCTGAGAATTATTAATGTAATGTAGCATACAAGTGTATCATAGTATATGGATATAATGTGTATTTCTGTATTTAAAGACTTACAGTTATGATGGATGAGACTTACATTACATTTAAATTCTTAAATTGATAATACATGTATTTTGATCAGTCTACAGTTATAGATGTTATACCCAGTGTTAGCTGGCTAATAATAGTATCTAATAACAGAGTTTTATATATTATAGTTTTCTTTCTACTAGATTTTAAATTCCATCCATAAGTTACCAATTGTTAAATTTGTTAATTTTAGGAATTCATATTTATTTAATAGAAACTGGAATTATTATATGTTATGTGCATACATTTATATCTTAGTATATTGATATGATGAGACTATAATATTTCTGAATTTAAGAGTTACAGTTATGTCATTATTATTAAAGGGATGAGACTTTCATTTTAAAGTTATAAATAATAATATACATGTATTGATTGAAAATGTCCTGAAACTTGGATCAATCAATATAATTGATAAAGTCTCAAAAAATCATATTCTGAATAGTAATTCTAAATTTTTTTCTAACATGTGAATAGTTTGAAAAGACAGCTTCTGCCTTAAATCTAATTGTAATAGAGGGACCACCAGTCTCATCTCCAGGTCTCCTGATCAACCCGACACTACAGACTTTTCATATGAGTAGATTGTTACTTGTCCTCTGAATAAATTTGTACCACTAACTGTCTATAGTGATATTTGATGCCAGCAGGACAAACCAACAAAGCTACACAAAAGTAACTGGGCGCTAGATGAAAACTGAAATACATCTACCACAAAGTGGTTCTTTATTGCATTTCATTTTTTGCCCGGGCCCTGCATGCAAAACTACAAATCAGCCTTCATAAAATTTCTATCATAGATATGACATGTATTTGCACAGTTATGTTCACTTTCAATTGACCTGTTATAAATAATGGCACAAACAATAACTCGTCTATCCAGCCTTTTGAAGTAAAATAAGGTGTGATACAATATTATATATAAATGTTATTATTAACTTTAATGAACTATGAGTATGTAATGTTTTATTTCTTTATTTATTAATTTAAGAATTATTATATGTATAATTTAAAATCTAAATATCTGTCTTGGTTAAAACTGTTCATTATTAGGGAAAAAGTGTAAGCGGTCAGATAGCCTCAATCGTACAACCGCGGTTACATTATTCTGTGAGGTCCCACAGGGTATTCTGAGTTCTGGTCAAGCTCTGGAAATTTTTGCTCATCCTGTGACTGCAAATAACCATGAGTTTAAATCGACTATGCTCTTAAACATCAGAAATTGCAAGGACATGAATCAATATAGTGGGAAATAGGTTTAGGTTTAGAACTCTTTCATTATTATAAGAGAAATATGTGTAGCCCGGCGTGGATACCTCAGTTGGTCTTCTGAAAGTCATGGGTTTGAGTCATGGTCAGGCAATTTTTCAGTCAGGGTTTCAGAAGTGGTTTATTAACTGACACATGTTGATTTCATTTAATAGATTGCATATTTAATTTGAAATGGACAAAGGCAGTATTGCATGATACTTTTAACATTCTAGAAAAAACATTTGATACAGTTGATCACACTATTACGGCACCGAAAAAAAAGAAGTTCCGTTTTCTTCTTCTAGCGATGGAACTTCAAGAATCTGCCTTATGTAATGACATTCTTACATGGTTTAAGTTTATCTCTGATAGACATACCGCAGCTGGTACTCATTCTACTACTTCTCTGAGTACCTATGGTGTCCCCCTGATGTTCATTTTAGGTCCTCTTTTATGTCTAATATATGTATATATTTTTAAAGGGGGTCATTATTTACATTTTTTTTTTTTGGTTTTTGACACTTTTAAGATGAACACAGTTTTTTTTATCAATCTGGTCTTATTTTTTCTTCCCAGGTCCAATACGAATGACAGACTATTCTCTTCCTTACCAGTTCCTCCCCCTGACGGTTCTCTCCCTAACCGTTTCCTCCCCTGACGGTTCTCTCCCAAATTTATAATATGCAGACAGTTCTCCCCCAATTTCATTTTTATAAGTTGTCATTTTAGTTTAATAATATTTCTTAATGAAGATTATTAAAAGATTGTGTTTGATATCAACTGCATTTTATGTTTTATGTTTATCAGCTGAAAAGTGTTTGTAAATTTAACACCTTTTTTCAGTATTTTAATCCTATCAACACCTTTATTGTGAGAGATATAGATCATTGGACAGTGATTGATATACACCAGTAATTATGTTAAGGTCTAGCTTGTAATGTTCATTCATTTGTTAAATAGCGAATAAGGTGGAAACAAGTATGTTCTAGAAAATAAATAAACAACAACTGGTATGCAAACACATTCCACATTTACTTTTTTACGAAATTGATTTAAAAAACATGTAGTCATCACTAGTCATTAACTTGAAACAATATATAATACCAAATAACTAATATAATACTTATTCATCAACACCTTTTCACAGCTATTTTAATCTAATCAACACCTTGATTCTTGAGTAATGAATTAATAATCACCTCAATTATCATTGACAGCAAACTTAACGCATACATGTGAGTATTGAACTCCTTTTTTCATTATACAAAAGTTTAGCAATTAAAATTTATTAATCATTTTTTGCCTATAAATTTCATTTT